GGGTGAGAATAGCCCTGCAGGTGGACACACCTCCCTCCTTTGCAAGAGTTACCGTCCTGGCCTTCAGCTGAGGAGCGGAGGGGACAGTAGGTTCCCAGCTGCACCCTGGGGTTTCTGAGGTCTGGGACAAAGGGACCCTTGGGAGGGGCCATGCCCCGCGTCCCAGTAACTTACCTGCCTCAGGGCTGGTGGGGGGCGGTGAGGTGCTGAGTGTTAATTCATCTCACATTCTCTCCAAACCTTGGTTGGCAAAACGACTGCGCTGCCCGCTGCCCCACGGCTGGACGTCCACAGTGCTGAAAGGTGAGGTTCTCCCTCCCCTCACCTCGCAGCCCTGACCCAGCAGAGGTGGCCTCTGCAGGCCTCCACCCAGCTCTCCTTCTCCGGGTGTCCACTGCCCACTTCTGGGGCTAGACCCCTGACAGAGAGGAGCGCTGTCCCTCTCCCTGAAGCAGGAGTGTCCTGGTAGGAGCTGCAGCGTGCGCTGTGACCCGACAGGAAGCCGTGGGCTGGGGGCTGATTTGGTCTGCCCGAGAGCTGACCCTGGTGCACACTGATGTCCATCTCTGCCTCCTGAGGTCGGGTGGAACTCGGCACTGTGGGGAAGTCCCTACGGACGTGGTCAGAGCAAGTCAGTGGCCACACCTTGGGACTGGGTTCACAAGTCTGCAAGGCGAGAGGCCAAGTCAGGAAGCCAGATGAGGACCCTCAACGATGGGGGCAAAGGTTCAGCTCTGAGACCTCTGTGTTCAGAGCCCAGGCCACCTTCCTAGCTGGGCAGCCTTGGAGAGGCGACCTCACCTCTCTGGGCCTTCACAGGACTAAATGCTGCTTACAGATGTGAAACACGTTCACCAAACCCAGGAATCCAGACTAAGCTCTCCCTGCTCTGCCCTCCGTACCACACGTGCCCATGCACACTCACACACACATTTACACACTCACTCACACAGAGACACACACTCTCACCCTCACACACACACACACTCACCCTCACACACACACTTACACATTCACTCACACAGAGACACACACTCTCACCCTCACACACACACTCACACACACTCACCCTCACACACATACATGCACACACTCTCATATACACACACTCACAGTCACATTCACACACACATGCTCACACACTCTCACATGCTCAGGTTCACACACATGCTTTCACACAATCACACACACTGTCTCACACTTACACACATACACACACTCTCACACTCACCACATATACACACTTACACACACACTCAAAAACTCACACTCACATACTCACACACACTATCACACTCACACAATCTCACACCCATACACTCTCACACTCACATACTCACACACACTCACACACTAACAACACTCTCACACTCACATACTCACACTCTCACACACTAACACACACACATACACATATTCACACTCACACTCACACTCACATACTCACACTCTTTCATACACACACACTCTCACACACTCACATACTCACATATACACACACACTCACTCTCACATATACACTCAGACACATACACATTCTCTCACACACACACTCACAGTCTCTCACACACAGACATACACACACTCTCACACAAACTCTTACGCTCACACACATACTCACAACACTAACCACTCACACATACTCTCTCTCACACACACATTCTCACACTCACACACATACACACACTCACACTCATACACTCACATTCACATATTCACACACTCACACACAGTCTCACACTCTCACACTCACACACACACATTCTCACACACACATATTCACACACACTCTCATACACTCACATACTCGCACACTAACACACTCTCACACTCACACACATACACATACTCATACTCATACACTCACACTCATATACTCACACACTTTCACACACAACACACTCACATACTCACATATACACACTCACACACACTCTCACACTCTCACATATGCATTCAGACATATACACACTCACACACACTCAGTCTCACACACATATACACACACTATCACTCACATACTCACACACACTCTCTCACACACTCTCACACACTCTCTCACACACACTCTCACACAGTCACATACATACACTCATACACTCACATTCACATACTCACACACACTCTTTCACACACAGTCTCTCACACTCACACATACTCACACACACTCTCACACTCACAGACATTCTCACACTCACAGACATTCTCTCACACTCACAGACATTCTCACACTCACACACAGTCTCTCACACTCACACACAGTCTCTCACACACACTCTCACTCTCATATACTTACACACACTCTCTCACACTCACACACACACACAACACACCATCACACACACACTCACACACTCTCACACATACTCTCACACTCACACTCTCACGCTCACACACACTCACACACATTCTCTCACACACACTCACATTCACATACACACACACTCTCACACACACTCTCACACATACTCTCACACTCACACTCTCATGCTCACACACATACACACACACTCTCACACTCACACACACACACATTCTCTCTCACACACACTCTCACACACTCACACACACTCTCACACATACTCACACACACATTCACATACACACTCTCTCACACACACTCTCACACTCACACGCTCACACACATACACACACTCACACTCATACACTCACATTCACATACACACACTCTTACACACTCACACATGTACTCACACACACTAACACTTACACACTCTCACACTCTCACACTCTCACACTCTCACACACTATCACATAATCTCTCTCACACACACTCTCACTCACACACGTACTCATACATACTAACACTCACATACACACACACTCACACACACACTCTCACACTCACACACACACACACTCTCACACTCACGTACTCACACACACTAACACTCACATACACAACAATCACACACACAGTCTCACACACACTCTCACACAGTCTCACACACACTCTCACACACTCTCACACTCTCACACACACTCACACACAGTCTCACACTCACACACACACACCACTACTGAGAGCGCACTGGTGGCTGCCGTCACCACTCACCTGTGCCTCTGGTGTTGGCCGTGTCACCTTGGCCAGGCGAGGCGCTCGGCACACCCCGACATCACCACACTCAGTGTGGGGGGGCCACTTTGCAGGGCCAGGAAGAGCTCAGATTGGTGACCTCCCATGAGCACCAGGTGGTGTAAGGTGCAGCTGGGGACCCAGCCCTGGGCCGTGCACCACTCCTGACCGCGGAGGGCACCGACTGCAGGGCACCCAGGTGGCCAGGAGGGTGCCTTGGGGGCCCAGCGGGTTGGACTCTGCTGTGTGGAAGAGGAGTGGACGTAGGCGGACGGGGGGGGGTCTGCGTGTGGCGTCCCGCTGCGGGTGTCACCTAGAGCTCTGTGTCCCCGCTGGCAGTGCAGGGACAATGCTCTGGTCCCTGCGGCCGTGGTGGGCAGCGGAGCCTCCCTCTGGAGCCAGGCAGTGGTCTTTCTCCCCTGCCCAGCGAGGCTGCAGCGGGCCAGGCCTGCCTTCCCGCCCCTCGGGCCCCCTGAACCCTGCCGAGGCCGGCCTGGTCCCACTGCCCAGGGTGGCTGCCTGGGCCCACTCCCAGCCCTTGCCCGCCCAGCGTCTGACCTCCTTGTCTTCTCTCTGGTGCGGCTTGGTCTCCGACCCTTGGGCCCGACGTTCTGCTGCCGTGTCTGTGACCCCGCCACGCCCCCCAGGGATCGTCGGTAGGTACCTGCCACACACGGCACCTGCGGGGACTGCTGAACCCTGTGCCTGCCCTCACACTGGGGCCACAGAAGCCCGGACCCAGTAGGTTCCCACTTCCCAGCTCAGCCCTGGTGGAACTGACAGGGGACACCAGCCGCAAGGGACATTTCAGTCACCCACGGGCCCACGTAGGCAGTGGTCCCAGGTCACAGTGCTGAGAGCCCTGAGCCACTGCCACGGAGACCACCACCCAGGTCCAGAGGGACTTCAGCAGGGCCCCTGCAGAGGACAAGGGCCAGTGGCAGTGTGGGAGGCCCTAAGCATGGCCACACTTCCTGGGAGGAGAGGTGCTGAGTCGGCAGGGCAGGGACCCC